TGCCCTGGGGTTCCGCAGGCGATTTGGAAAAGAGTGAAAGCTTAGATAAATGGAACTAATCTATAATTTGATACATGAAACAACTTATTTGGAGTCAATATGTGAAACGTGGCAGCGCTGGACAAGGCCGAAAGGGCATGTTTGCTTGGTATCGCCCGTCGACAACTAGCAGGATAAGCGAGAGCACGGGGTAGGCACAGTAGCCAGTGATGCTTGACATACGTCCAAAAGCAGGGAAAACTAAGACCTAGGGTAATGATTAATAGAAAATTTGTCTCCGAAAATGCGTGAGAAAAGTAGTTCTTGGGTGCTGGCGGCCTTCGCTCCCTGAGTCCCATCGGAACCTCACGGTGGTAGTCCGCCGGTGCAGCCTACTACTGCCGCTGGTGGTCGGCTGCGTCTACCTGGCAGGTTGTGCCTGCCTGTGGGTGTTGCGCAACGGATCATTCCAATGGATATCTGCCGGCCGACGTAAATATGACCGTCAGTATGGGATATATAATACTGGCTAATAAACGGCTATGCTCCTCTAATTGAACTAGGAGAACTGGCATATTATGGTGCACCCACACTACGTCCTTCGCAGAGGGGGCAGTCACCCTGTAGCGATGCTGGTATGTTTGCAAATATAGGAATAGGAAGAGTTTGTGCACCTGCATCTGGAAAGGTTAAAAGCTCGAATAGGGTCTCTATCCTATCCTCGGCATTTCACCGCCGCTCCGGGGATCTTGCCGCCTAGAATATCCATGTGGCCTCTTTTCTTCCCCAGAAGTTACTTTTTGCGCCGGTATACATCCGCCTTCCCTGATTTCCTAGAGGTGCTTGTTCCTGCCGGCAGTTTTCCAACGCTGAAAGGATGCGTACAGCTCCATCCTGCCAACAGCTTGGCCGAGCGAACCCACTGCAGCAAATCCCTGGTACTCATGTCAGCAGAGTGAAACTATAAAGGAGAAGTAACTCAGTTCACAACTAGAGAAACTATGGAGCAGAAGTGGTTCGTTGCCTGTTCAGCAACTAACAAGCCCTAAGGCCGTTGAACATAAGCCGCAAGTTGGTGAAGGTGAGGCACATCGCCCAGCAGTCTGAACATATTGCACGCAAAGGCTTTTTCCTGTTTACAGCCTCTTTCCGCTTTTGGTTTGTTCCCGTCTAATACCCTTGGGCGCTAGGGGTGGGGAATTTATTTTAATTCTCTTTAACTTGAGTGTTACCCTGACCTGCACTCCTTGGCGAAAGGCCAAGGGAAAACTGCAACTCGACCCGTGGGCTCTCACCTGTGGGCTGACTCACATATTTCCTCGCACCAANCCAAGGGAAAACTGCAACTCGACCCGTGGGCTCTCACCTGTGGGCTGACTCACATATTTCCTCGCACCAATTCTTGTCTGAATTGGTCACAGATTATGGACAAGCCTGTGTGTGTGTGCCGTTTGTGTCACTTCGATGACAGCCAGCGCAAGCCTACGCCTCTAAACTGCTTCATTAATTTAGCGCCCAACGGCGTCGCGGAAGTTACGCTGAAGATCATTTCAACACGACCAGATAGTGAATTCTTTTATCCCGTTATCCGTTGTTTAAGTACGATCCGCTCCTTTGCTTGCCCAGTACCTACACCTGTGCTCCTGAGTGATTGCCTGCAGCGGCTGCTTCCAGAGACATGAAATTTGGCGTAGCAGGATTCTTGATCTCATGCTTACACTGTGTTTTAGGAATTTTACATCCATATCGCCCATGCGGAGTTCGGCACTGTTCGGCGTTCCTAAAACCCGAAAGCGGCGGCACGGCGCCGATCAGCTGAACTCTTGAGAAGTTGTGTCCGAACAACGCCACGAAGGGGTTGCCTGCATGTACAGTTAAATAGACAATTGTCGCTTGGCATTCGCTTTGGCTTAACTGCCAGGTTGTAAGAGAGCTGGGACGCGTGGCCTTGAAAGACTCCTACGCCTAGTGAGGGTTCCTAGCCATCAGGAATTTCTATGAGCCATTGCACCCACTAGATTTTTCGGAAGCACGAATATCTCCTGCATGCTCCCTGAACTCTCCGGAGGTCTGCTGTTCACTATGGCTAAATTAGATTGTATTTCTGGCCAGACCTTCGTGCTGGTTCAGGGAGCGATAGACCATCAACGCTCNTGCGCAAAAGATACCGCGAGATTTGAATGCACCGCTTTCTTCCGCCCCTATGTTGAACATCTCGGTCACTTGCGGGCGTGCGGAGACCATGGGCAGCAACTGTTGCAGCTAGCCTAAGTATGTTGTGCTGAGCGTCAGCTCTTTGCGTGCTGTCCTGATGATGTGCGTCATATCTTCATGCCTCGGTCCTGCCAGCCGTTGCCCGTGGGAAAATTGGCTAGCAGGGGAGCCTTTTCATCCGCTGCAGCTGCGGAATTTGAAAGGGATCGCATTCGCTAGGCACCAACCCGTCGTGCACATCATGCATGCACCCAAAGAGGATGTATGCATGCATTTGGTTTTAGAGATACTTGTGCAATTATGCAACGGTGCCTGAAGTGTTAGGCCGAACGCCTGGATAGTGCCTCTTCATTCCACAAAAAAAGTAGAAGTTATGGGGAAGACTCAGGCCAGCACAACAGAAAAAACTGAGGGTACCAAGCAGTTGCTGCCTATAAAAATGAGTTACGGCCAAGTCGGCCTGTCAACTAGAGGTTCATGCGGTGCCATGCCGGCAGCCGCGAATGCTGAAAGTTTCAAATAGCCGCATTCCTAGGGAAGCACCGAAAAGCAATCACCCGATTAAAGCTCAAACTTCAATCAGAGTGTCTGTTCTGAAGGGCTAAAATTGCGAAGAAGACACTGCGACACACGGCCATTCTTAGACGGAATCAGCACCCCGCGAGTGTGACTGGCTGGGCACTGGTTCAAAGAGCAGCCAGGCCAAAGGCTGCAATGGCAAAGACGAGTAGACTCGGGGCAACAGCAGATGCAGAACCTGTGAGGGATGCCTTGATCTTGTTCCACTGATCTTCCCTGCGCGCAATTCGCCAACAGATGAACAACTCACAGCACGACATTTGTACACCCAGGTCCAGCCCTGTACACAACCCTTGCTTCCTAGATATTTGTAGCAGACTTACGTGAAGGGAGCTTTGCTATCTGCAAATGCATCAGGTGTAGTCATGCACAGTAGNATTTGTAGCAGACTTACGTGAAGGGAGCTTTGCTATCTGCAAATGCATCAGGTGTAGTCATGCACAGTAGAGCATGGCCTTTCTTTCCTTCAACACTCGAACGTATGCTGAGTGCTGCGGGTCCTTGAACTAGTTTCTGAGTGCAGGTGATGACTCGGCAGTCAACACTAGCACTGTCTGAAGGGTTGTACAAAGCAACAAAAGAGACGTTCTGCTGCTTCTCGTAGAGTGTCGTTCCTTTGGTCTTCGATGGAGGAAGGGAGGTGAAGTTGCTGACGGCGTCCTTCCAGTGGCTCACTGCGGCAACGCAGTCCGCCTCTGCTGTATCCAATGCCATGAAGGCGTATGTGCCGCTTGGAAAGGTATTGCTTGGTGTGCTCTGATCCTCCGTGGCCGGTTCGCCTTCCTGAAATGACAGAATCACGTGTAGAAGAAACAAGACACAGTGAGGAAGAGGATGCGTTGTCTCCGGTGGAATGGCACAGCTAGGTCCACTCACTGCTATCAGAGCTTCACAAACAGGATGCCAAGGGCTAGATTCTTCTACATCTTGTTCTGTTTGAGGCCACTTATTATTTGATCCTTCGGCGGCCGCTAAGAAGTGTGCAAGTCCAGCAGCTCCACGAGCAGCGTTCATTTCGTCGAGACAGACGCCCGTTTTGCCTGTAGAAAAACGACCGAGACATACACAACGATATCAAAAATGAAACAATTGTGCATTCAAAATGGGCCGATGTAGTTGAAAGCTATTGGAGGAACTCATTCGGTTCCAAACGGCACGGATCGTCCAGCACAACTCATCGCCTCCAACGATGAAACCCTCCCCTCAGCAAGCAAGTATTAGCCGATTTACCAACCGTTACAGTGTAGGTTGGTGATTCTTCAGGTTGTGGCGGTTCCTCTTGTCCCTTAGATTCTTTTGTGTTTGCTTGGGCTATGAGGAGCGCAGAAGCGCAGGCGAGCGACACAATTTTAAGAGGCGCCATGTTTGCAGTTAACGCCGGTTGCGTGAACGAGAAGTATGAGGCTCGTTTAGTAAACGTTGGGTGGGACTTTAAAGAAGACGTAACGAGAGGTTGCGCAATGAGCGTGCAGTGGGAGGCGGCGAGGGAGCGAACTGCAACTGGCCTGTCCGGTCCCCCCTGAGGCCCTACTGGTGAAGCCCTCCCGCTGGGCTCACGACCTTGGTAACATTAGAAGGGCCTGAATGTGGTACTTTAAGGAACACAGACTACGAATTTCTACCGACATGTGCTGAACCCAACATGAAACTCCAGTGTACACCACGGAAACAGGCTATGCAGGTGCTCCACGAAACAGACCCAAGGGGAGCGGAGAGCCGAGGATGCGCTAGCTCGATTCGTATTTTTCTACTGGTGTACCAACTTAATATAATAAATTCGAGTCTTTTAGCTGCCTTTTTCGTATAATTTGCCCTGTAATGGTTGCTGTGCGCTACTCTGCCTTCGGTCGCAGGACGGGTCTCCCGTCGGGGCGACGGCGAGTGCCCCTCTGGAGACGCTCTCCTCTGCTTGCACATAAGTAGGGAGGTTTGTATGCTTGCATAAGACATGTAACAAGTTGATTGGAAATGCTTCCCGTATCAAATGCCTCTGTACACGGCGCACACGCCCCTCTACACAGTGCACATGCACCCAGGAGTGTCTGCATGCACAAATGCATCCAGGCACACTTGAAGTAGGCCAGCGACGTGTGAGACTTTGGCTAGATCACCTGAGAGTCATAAGGCCTGTGAGCTCCACTAGCAGAGCACACGCAGTAGGCACGACCCGGGCCAGCGCAACAGAAGCCAATGAAAGAGGCAAACGTGTGCTGTTCATAGTTATAAAAAGGACCGAAACAGGCCCGTCGACCAGTGGCGCATTAGGCGTAAGGCCAAAAAACGCAATTAGGAGTATATAAGGCGTGTGTTGAAGGCTTTCGCTAGCTGCAGTCCTGTGGATGCAGCGGGAAACAAACGCCTGCCTAAGCTGTACACGCCAGTTAGAGTGTCTGTTCTGAAGGAAGGAAATGTAAATAAGACACTGCGGAGAGCGGCTTTGCTTGAATAGCATCAGCAACAGCCGGGTGCCACGGAGAGGCACCTGCTTTAAAGGGCAACCAATCCAAGGGCCGCAATAGCAACGGCAAGCAGACTCGGGGCAACTGCAGGGGCAGAGCCTGTGAGGGATGCCTTGATCTTGTTCCACTGCTCTTCAC